TACATAAAGACGTCAGAAGGTGTGGAATTATACAATGTCAATTACCCAGCGTGTTACTGTGAGTTCATGTAGAAAACTTTTTTTTTCCCTTATACCTCCAAGGTGAACGTAGAATCCAAAAAAGGCAAACATTCTTGATTAATTGAAGTCATAGGGGGCCACAAATAACAACAGAAAAACTGTATCAAAACATCTGTTTACAAACCCTCACACAGCTCATGCAGTATAATCCAAGTCTCATTTATCCAGTCATATGCTCAGTACTCCCCAAACACATGCATTTTCGCTAAAGCGTTACAATGTAAGACACTTCCGACTATACCGGTAGCACACTCTGAGCGTGCCTTAGCAAGCGCATGGGTTTGAACTCTGTTTGAGTTCCAACACACATGCCTGCCCAGGTATGGTACTTGGCCGTGCTGAGATTGTTTGTGCAGAGGTGTTGAGCATACGACCGGATAAATGAGACCTGTATTATACTGGACATGTTGTGTGAGAGTTTGTTAACACATGTTTTGATACAGTTTTGCTGTTGAACTCTTTTCCCTTTTACCTCAATTCATGAAGTATGTTGACCGTTTTTCTTCTCCATTCACCTTGGAGGCATGCAAAAAATGATTATTTTGCAGGTGAAGTATTCCTTTAAGGGGAAATACAATGGGAAAGAGGAAGTGTTGTATTTGGTAACTCCAGATTAACTCAACTTCATTGCTTTTAAAAGCATCTTAACAGCAGCTGAAAATCTTGTTTTTGTTGACAGCTAAAGGTTTAACACCTCACTTTTCTGCAGTGATGTTAAAGTGTTTTGCCAGAATGTGTCGTACATCATTGAAGGGTGTGGTTACAGGTTGCAATTCACTTGAAACTTTCGCCCTCAGGCTGCAGTGAAACATTGTATTTTAGCCTGGTGTTAAATTACTCTTAAAAATAGAGGATTCTGGGCTTAAAAGACCCAGATTGGTGCGATTTGCTGCGCATTTCTCTGCAGACACTCACAAAGACTGGCATTAATACCAGATAATGGTGTTGACTTTGGCTGTGAGAATGAACTCAGGCAGGAATGAGAACAGGAATCATGGGGGGCTGAGAAAGAGATAAAAACAGATGATGGGAGAGGAGCTGCTCTCTGGCAGCTCCATAAAACCCTCCACAGCCCGGAGGCCTGCTGTGTCAGGAGCGATAGGTAATGTTGGTTGTGGCAGAGGAAGAGAGGGGCTGCTCAGGTCTGATGTCCACACCCTCTGTGCTGCCTCTAGGGTGCAGTTTCGGGCAGAGATGTTGCAGCGGCGAAAGGAGGAGAGAGAGGCGTGGGAGCTTGAGCGGCAGAGAGAAGAGGAAGAGAAACAGCATCGTCTGGAGGTCCTCAGAAACCAGGTGGATCATTATCTGCTCTTAACATTTTAAACCACTCACATTTTCTTTGTCAGTTGAAATGACCCACGAGGGAAGACTTGGACTCATCTTTATCTGAGTGGAGGCATCACTGCCACCCTATGGCAGTAAATAAAAACACAATTGTATATGTTATCCCTATATTCAATGTTTCTCTTTCCTATTTATCTTAGGTTGGGGTGGTGGCAGAGGCAGACCCAGAGAGGATGATGGCAGATACAGAAGCCTGGAGGAGTCGACACTTGAATGTAAAGGAGTTTGAGCTCCAAAGGCCTCTCTACAGTATTAACACGTACACAGACACACAGGTGAGGCATGATAACAGCTTTTGTTCATATCATTACAAAAGCTCTTCAGCTCCATGGTCTTTTGCCCCGAGCCCCTTATCTATGTGTGTTACATATTATGGGCCTATGTGGCCTCTCTCCCCTGTTTCCTCAACAATATTTAGCCGATTACAGCAATGATTCTCAAAGTAGGGTCCGGGGACCCCCAGGGGTCAGTGGCACTCTGCTAGGGGGTCCGTGAAAAGTTTTAAGATGTATTCATTTAAGCTACAGCCACACTAATACAGTTTCATTAAAAAATGCATAACTATTGCAATGTTTACAATCAGTGTCCGCACTTTTGGAACCCCTAAAACAGAGACCCTTGAAAACGGGGTTGCGTTTTATTCTGGAAAGGTGGAAACGCCGACTTCTGAAAAGCGAAGATGCAGACACCCATGTTTGCGTTCCGATTGGATCTTAGCAGTCAAAACGTGTCAAACCAAATACTGTATTATAGCTAGGTCTACATTCCTTTTGTGATTTCATCCTTCTTGTGTGTGACAGGACTGCTTCACAGAGGTGTGGACTCAAGTGCACAATTCAGGAGACGGTTCAGTGACTAACCAAAAGTCTTTACTTAGCAAATGGATACAGTACACAAGCAGGCAGTCAGACGATCCAAAAGGGCAAAGCAAAAAACAAGGTCAAAAAACGTGAGCAAGGATCAAAAACCAGGAACACTAAGACTAGGAAAGTACTGGAACGCTTGACACTACGTACAAAGACCAATTGGCACAAGAAGCAGAGAGCACACAGACTAAATACACAAGGGAAGCAGGGATAACTGGACACAGGTGAAACAAATCAGGGCGGGGAAGACAATTAGAAAAGTACACAAGGGCAGGAAGTGGGGATCTGAAACGAGAGCAGACGTGAGTAACAAAATAAAACAAGAAATGAATCTAGATAATGTAAACAATTAAAAACATGACCTAGGTAGCTTAACAAGCCATGACAGTGTGGGTAACATTACTTCTTTATCATTGCCAAAGCTTCCTCTGGTGAAGGACAATGCTCCCGGTACAGCTCTAATATGCTGCCTTACAGGGGCGTAGCACCAAATCCCTTTCTTTGTTGTTCCATGTCTTTCATTTCTTTTTTTGAAACCCAGATATTGAGCATAGCGTTAGTTCAGGCGGAACATGATGTCAAGCTCAGCTCACATCCCAGCTACATTAGCTGATCTCAAACAGCCCAATCAACTGATGGAGCTGCTGATTGATGGAAGGGAGTCAGCTGATAGATCACATAATTCCTTCCTATGCAACCAGTGGGCGAATCTCATTCAGGGCACCCTATTTAAACTGCTCTGGCCTGCCTACTCTTGCTGCTTCCTCTGCAAGCTGCTTTGCAACCTGCCTCCACCCCAGCTCCTCCTTTTCATGCTGTGTCGGACTTATCAGTGTAATTTCTGTTTGTCATTGATGTTTGCTCTCTCTGCCTCAGGCTTTTCTTGTTTGCACATGGAAGGGCAGAGAGGTGTGCTCTCTTCACATAGGCTGGTGTAAGAGGCTTTTTGCATAGGCCTGAGGAAAGGCAGAGAGGCCCCAGAACAGAGCCATACTGCCATATATAATACTGCAAATGGAAATAAAGTTTTCTCTGTCGAAAGTGTTTCGAACTGAATTCCCTTTTTTGGTGAAAGGGATGACAGTGTGCACTGGTGCCCAGCAGCATAATGAGCACCACCTGGGTCAAGCTGCATAAAGAGATGAATCCTAGTGCAGTGGTAGATTAAACCATTTTGTGCCTTTGAGGGTTGAGAGGTGCCTCAGAGAGCTTCCACTGTTTTTGTTTTTTTTTATACAAAGTTCAGTCTCTCAACCAATTTATTCAGCTGATTTAGTTAGGGCACTAATTACTTAGAAAAAGAAAATTACAAACAAAACCAAACTTTTCATTTCCAGCTTTTTAAGGGCCCCCCTTCCACTGGGGCACTGGGTAATCAGTCTAACTTTACCCCCCTCTACCATGCATCTGTCGAGGTGTTTGCTTTGCAGCAACTCTCAGTCTGGTTTGTGCCGCCTTTACTGCCTTATACTCACGTGTTACTTTCAGAAACAGCTCCACCTCAAGCAAAGAAATCTCTGGTCATACTTTTTGCCATCTCCGTAGAGTTGACAATTTACTTCCTTTTTACATCAACATGCCCAGTGTACATGAGTGGTCATATGATGTGCGTTTTTAAACTGCCTTTTTTTTAAAAAAAAAAATGAAAATATATGAAGGTAGATGTTGTCTTAAATGATCATGACATCAGTTTTTTAACAAAAGGCTCCATAGTTTAACAAATGATACTTACATTTTTAAATCTATAATAGTTCCTAGATTACTTTCCAAACTAACAAATCTATAACTCTTAGAATCTGCAAATATTTTTAGTATGTCTAATATCTTTCTAATACATATCTCTTGTGTTGTTTTTTCACATAACTGAGATTGTAAAAGTGTGATGACTCCAAGGGGACCCCCTACTATCCTGTAGGGGGTCCTTGGCTGGAAAAAAAGGAGAATCACTGCTTTACATAATGTTTCGTTTCATGTCGGGTGAGACTGACCAGTGACCCATGCAGTGCAGCAAAATTGTGCAAGCTGCTTGGCTGGTCAGTCAATGTTTGTGCTCATGTCACAGACTTGTGTACACAGCCTTGATCTCAGGGCAACCCAAGCAGGTCAGTGTACTATAGTCTGTGTGTGTGTGTCTGAGTGTGTCATCATGGTTAGTATTTGCTTATTGTGTAACCCTGGCAATGACTAACGATTGTCGTGCTGTGCAAATCTTCTCCTCCAATACCAAACCATGAAGAATTTGTGATTAATCGTGTTTCAAGTGTTAAATGCACAGAAAACCATAACAAACAAACAATGCTAACATAGTGGGTGTTGACCTAGCGTGTAACAGCTGGTTATGTATTATTTACTATGTTTTTTTGTTGTTGTTTTTTTACATCTGTTTTCCAGATTGTGTCTGATCCAAGAGTGCGGGTTGAGCAGGCTCTGCGGGAGGCTGGTCTGCAATACAGCCAGTATGCCAAACAGGTCTTGTCTGTTCTTATGCCCCCTAAACCACCCAGACGAGACACCAAATCCATACTCAAATTCTGACCAGGGGCTTGTTTGGGGTCACATTATTAAGTCCAACCTTTGCTCTAGTATTGAGCATCACATTAAATGTAAATAATTAATTAATAAGACACACATGTAAGAATCATATTCACAGTTGGACACATCACAAAAGCTGCTGTGCTACAGTATTGACCACCAAGTGACACAGTGCAATTACTATTATTGACTTTTATTGAAGGTTTTATACTCAACAGCACCTTGTGAGAAATCATACAGTATCACAGTGATGATAAACATGCACCTCCAACAAATGAAAACGACCTCTCTGCACATTTATCAATACTTATTGACCAATTATGTTACTTTCTGCTGCATTTGTATGAACAAGCTTATGTGGCAAAAGCAACTAAATGTAATGCATGTCTGGTTTTCTGATAACACATTCATCACTGAAACACATTGAAGGAAGGCCCACTTTATCTTATTGTGTCATAAGAGAAATCACTAAGGAATAATAAGTAGTTTGCCATCTAACAAACACATCCTTTATAACCTTTGTAACAAGAGGCTGCTTACAGATTGCAAACTTGCTGCTCCACAGCCAACATTTTTATTGAGATATAAGTGTAAGTCAAACATTAAAATCAACATACAGAGCACCTTCTTTAGAAAATTAATGTTAGCTTACATAAATACTATTAAATATTAAAAGATAAAATACATACTTACATATATATAAATGCCACATGCTTAATATTTAAACTTCATCAATGAAATCATACAAATTTACACAGCTTTTGAAATAAGCGGAATACACATATAAACATGGTAAGTACAGTACATATACATATTCACATATCAGCTATATACACTCTTATTTGGGAGGCTGGGGTTGGGATGGGAGACGTCAGGGTCTCAGACAATAAGTCCCAGGCGTTTCTTGATAAAGTGAGACACGAGGACTTGAGGTCTCTGCTGGAACTCCACCAGAACATCATGAGAGGAGGTGATCTGGTCTCCATCGAAGCGGTTCAGCAATGTAACACAGATCACAGCAGCTGGAGATAAAAAAAAGGAGATTATCAGTCATATAGTGCATGTTAATGTCCTTGGTTCTTACATTATTGGGTCAAATCATCAATCAGCAGAAGGGAGACACACATATCTGTCTGTTCTGTATTCTGTACAGTTTATGTCTTTATTGAACAATATCGAAGTAGGCTAATTAAAGGGCACAGAGGTGTCGTAGAGGCAAGGTTGTATCTTCAAAGGCATCAATAACTGTACCACTGTACAGAATGTTCTACGCTTTATAACTTAAAAAATACCTTTTAGGCCACAGACACGGCACATAGCAGCAAATACAGTGGACTCCATTTCAATATTTCTCACTCCAGCGTCGTACGCTTGCCTCAGATACTCCAGTTTTTCTTCATGAGAGAAGGAGCAGAGAGCTCCGTCGAGTCGGCCTTGACCTAGAGAGACAAAGCACAGTATTTGTCACTACCTGACCAAAGGAAATGTTGTGTGATTAAAAACCATGTACAAATATGATGACAGACAACCTGAATGTGAGATGCTGTATTTACCTTCATAGAAGTCATGGGTGCACATGGTGTTCCCAATCACTGTAGGAATGTTTTGGAGCTCAGAGGAGCACTGCAAAAGCTCGCCGGCCACTCCCTCATCCAGCTCAGTGCTCCTAGTGATGACTTTACCCAGGACAACCTGCTCAAACTGGGGGCGGAAGGAGTAGTCCACTGCTTTATCCGTGACCACCACTGTCCCTGGAGCCAGACCTGGAGACGACACCAAGCAGAAATGTTAATCTATTTATTTCAAAGGAATAACTCAAGAAAACGCATAAGAAAAAATGTTCTTACCGACTCCACCGGATGTTCCAAGGCGAAACAGGACCACGTCACGGCATTGAGCGTGGTGCAGCAGTTTGATGAGCTCATGCAGCATGATGGAGATGGAAGGGACGCCCATGCCATGCTGTGGTGGAAACAAAATCAGGATAGAAGTTACTTTAGAAACTGTGGAAATCTCAAACCGGCAATGCAATATCTGAAGCACTTGCCGGTAGAAATAAACACTCCTTGGACAGTATATGTCATCGTTCTGTGATACTTACACTTATAGAGAGCACTGGTCCCACTTTATACATGCAGTAGCGATCAGTTCCCTCACATATATCTCTGATTTCCTCTGGGTTTCCGGGCAGGTCCAGCTCCCGGTGGATGAACTGAGCAAAAGCCTTCATTCGATTCCCGCTGCCTCCAACACACACAAACTATGGGAGATAGAGAAAAGATGACAAGTCATTTCTGTTTTCTCGTTTTTGAAAATGTAAACCCCAGATTAGTTTTTTTATAAGCATTCCACAAACCTTAATATCACCAAACATTTCTGGAAGGTTGTGAGTCTTGGTGCTCAAGCTGAAGTGATAGAGAATATCCTCCTCCATGGTGTCCAAGTAGGGATTTTTCACTTGGACTTTTTGTCTGTAAGCAACAAAGTACAGCTTATTAATAAAGAGAAATGAATCCTAAGTGCTCGAAATGAATTACATAACATATTTACATTTGATTTTAAAGAGCAAAAGGAAGACATAGTCAATTGAAGTTCCCGAATACTCACTTGATGTACTCATTGTGGTCATTCCCCATACAGTTAAGTAAGATTGGTGCCATGACTTCAGGAGATGAGTTGAAAATCACGTTTAAAATGTCTTCAAAAGTTGGCCCTTTGCAAAACTTCCAAATACTCGTCGCAGTTGTTTTTGAATAAGAGTTATGTCAGACTGCAGAGCTGATATAGCGGTGACCTCTGGCCCTGCTACTGATTGGTTCCAGAGAGAGGAGTACCACCTGTCCTCGCTCTCACAAAAACATCCACCAGCCTCAAACAAACAGAGCGAGATCAATCACACCAAGAAAAAAAAAAGGATTGGCCCAGTTCCAAAGCGTCAGTGCACCTTCAAAAAGAAAACCAACCAAAGAGCTGTTGAATAACTAACGTCTTATGACACACAGCTTTCCCAGAGAACACTGAGATAACCTCTGACAGACATGCAGTACATTGGTATGTCAAAACAATGACACATAATGAGCTCATGGCATCAAGTAATGCATTGTACCCTTTGCTTTATTAGCAATATAACAATGTGTCCCGGAAGATGAGCCATAGTTTAAGATAAGATATACTTTATTGTGCCAGAGGAGAAATTTTGATTGGGCAATAGTGTTTAACACAGCGACAAGCAACTTAAAACAAAACTCAGACAACAAGACATTGGTGCACTGAAGACACAATAAGAAATTACATACAGCAAAAATATTAAAGTGAAAAACATATATAAGATGGCTGTAATGTAATTAACATTCAAAGTTCAACCTGTGAGAACAAATACCATTTCAGTATATAAGGCAAAAGCAAAGAATGATTGTGAAACATTTTGAGTCAATTTGATTGTATCTGAATTATCAAACTTTTATTCCTTAAAGCTGCCTTTTACAGTTACAGACACAGCAAAATAAAAAGATAACTTTTTACATATGCTGAAACTGTCACTATATTTACACATCACCACGAGACAGATAATCTGTGAAAAAAAAATCTTATTTCTATGCAAACTCTGTTGTTTTGTAGGATTTCTAATGGCCTTACCGCCTGTGAACGAAAACCAATTTCATGTCAGTCCACTGTCAAACTAGGGTGTTTAAATATGAATCAAAATTCTGTTACCGCATTACCTATTTCTTACCTCAAATGATTTCATTAACATTTTTTAGTGTACTGTTTAGCTGTAAAATGAGATTGTTAAGTCTAGCTGGCAGGTGGTGCTGAGTGCTTAGCTTGACTGTATCCAACATGGCTGTCTGACCAACTTTTTTTTTTTTTTGTCTTACAGCTAAACAGTACACTAAAATATGTTTCTGAAAACATCTGAGGTGAGAACTAGGCAATGCAGTAACAGAGTCTTGATTCTTATATGTGTCATATTTGATCAGCGCTACCTAGTTTGGCAGTTTGTCCACAGTTAACAAGCAGTGTTTGACCGCTGCGTTGGATACTCCTCAACTCTGACTGGTTATTGTCGTTGAGGGACATGCTTTTTTACAGATTGTCTGTCTCGTGACAGTTTCAGCAAATATGATGCAAAGGTATTTTGACAAAAGTTACAAACTGTAGCTTTAAGAAATTAAGTAAATGAGGCACAGTAAACAAAAGGTCCTAGATTTAAACCACTGAAGCACTTTCACACTTGAGTACAACATCTGACATGGCAGAACATTTGAAACTAAGTAAAACATTCAATGTGGCTCAGTATGAAGGAGTAAAGCAATCAATAAGGCAAGGAGAGGATGGCCACTGTTCTTCCTGGAAGCATTTGAGTTTGTACATCCTTTTCCTACGGCACTGGCAGTCTTCTAATCTGTTGACATGAAAATGTATATGAGCACGAGTCATTCACCAGTTCACTAATGATCTCTACATTATACTGTCAAGAGGCACTTACTAGACAAATCAGTGTTAGCTGTTGGTTTGTTGTCTTCTGCATATCCAAAGCTCAGCAGCTTAGACATGTTGACAGGAGCTGGATTCTTGTCAAACACTCTGTGAGAACACAAAAGGCATAAAGTCCAAATGTGTTGGAAATGTAATTTTTGGAAAGCCTTTTCATTTGAATCAAACCAGATGGTGCTTTTGTGGTTATAATTTAATGCAATGTTATGTCATCCCCACAAAGTGCCTATTAGATTAACACGAGGGACCACAGCGGACACAGTTTAAACATTAAATATGGACCCTACCCTTTAAACATTGTCTGCCAAGATAAACTCTGGCTACTCATTACAAAAGTTCTTTTCCAACAAGCACACAGAGTCAACAACTGTTTTTTATTGTTGGTTTTATCTTTATCTAATACCAAACAACCAACTTTGCAAAGTTATCCATCCAAACAAGTTATTCAGTATCAGATTTAGCCTTCTTATCTTTCTTAAGTAAGACAAAAAGGGCGTGAAATAATAACATTCACTCAGTCATTCTTGTTTAAGGAAATGTCTACTTTCTCTGCAACACTGTCTGTGACGCCCATGTCTTTAAAGCATTATAAACATACTTATAATGCTTTGTAATCTGATTATAGCACTGTATATTTATAGCTCTAAACAATCATGAATATTCCTAATGCTATGCAACAACAATCATAACATATTATTAAGCATTATATAATAAGGTCAAGTATCATAACACTTTATAATTGCTGGTCAATCACTGCCAGTTTTTGCAAGGATTATGGTGTATTAAAATTTCTTATAATTGTGCTGCATCATAATCATTTTAAGACGCATCATAACAGTGATTATAATGTATTTTAAAATGATTATAATGTGATTGTGAGTTACTCTAAGTGCTCATTGGGTGCTTTGAGTGAAGTAATGAAATTCCCCAGGTACTGGCAAATTTGAATTACAAGCTGGTTATGTGTCATTATAAGTGGTCATTGTTTGCTTTATGTAAAGTGAAGAAAATATTGTTAAAGCTTTATATAATTATTATAATGTGTTACAGCTTTGAGAATTATAATACACTATGATCCTTGGGGAAAAAGTCAGCAATTATCAAGTATTATGATCCTTGACCTTATAGTCATTATAAAATGCTTTACAATTTATTATGAATATTGTTGTAAACATTATGAAAATGCATATAACTACAATCATACAGTGCTAGAAGCAGATTCTAATGCATTATAAGTGTGCTTATAGTGTATATACTTTTTTTTTTTTTTGCAGTGGAGCCTTTGTGGACTCGTTGATGGATAGTATCAAAACTGCACAGACACTCTGTCCACAGTGTTTACTATTTTGTCTCTGTTGCATTGTTTGTGAGGTTATTTTAGTTTTTTAATAAGTCATTGACACTAGCCCAAGGGTACATGGAGCTCACAGTACAGACCAGAGGTGAGCCAAAGGAAGCGGGTGAATGTCCTGTTTTGACCCGAATCTATGACGTGTTTTGTTTGACCTGAGTGTGCTGCCTGCCCATGAGCATTTCTGCTTAGTCACCACAACATAGCAATATATGGTCAAGAATTTACTGACAACACCCTCTTAACTACACAGATATAAATCAGCCATATATAATATGTGTTGTAATGCTTCTAACTATGGACTTACACTAACAGAAAAGTCCCCCAAAATTGGCAAAAACCCTGTAAATTGTGAAATGGCTCTTCATTGCTATGATGTTACACTGTTACAATGTTATAAGACTGGCTTGAAAAATTGCCAACCTGTCCTTTAAGTGTTGTTTGCTATTACTTCCACTCAAAATTACTGATATGATCTGACATAATAAGATCACTGGTCTGTAATAAATCTATTCTGGGTAATTTTGTTTCTGCAAATTGTAAAAAGTGGCCTTCTGAGACACAGGCCACCTGTATTGGATATAATATAGAACAACAGCACCATCTTGTGACCACATTAACTTACATCCTCTTGAATTTGCTGGTCTCATGATACTGGTTGGATGACTCCAGTTTCACCATCTGGCTGTCAGGAACATTGTTGTTCTACAAAACACATAGTAAAGCAACAGTGAGTGGTGGTTATTTTGTTAATGTAAATTTTACTAGGATATCCATTACTCTAATGTAGACTATAAACCATTGAGAAGCAACTACCTGAACCCCCAAGTGTGTCTGCCTGATCAAGTAACAACTAAATAAAGTGTGTAACACTGCTGGATCACTAACAATCAACTTTGTCTTGAAACATATGATCATAACAAAACAACACAAGCGATAGAATAAATTGTTATTGTGGTGACTCGTGGGTAATTACTTTCTTAATGACTTTGACATTTCTTTGTTTACCTTCTCTTTGCCGTTGCTGCTGCTGCTGCTATCATCCCTCTCCCAGGCTGACATATTGTCAGTCCCAAAGGGGGGTTCTCGCGGTTGAAAAGCTCCAGGGTTTTTCTTCTCTTCACTGTTAATTAGACTGTTGGAAAAAAAACATAATATAGGGATATGAAATGTATCCTTCACTTAATGATAGCTGGAATACAGAATGATGAATAACACTAGAAATCATTATTGTAGCTGGTTATGTTTATATTGTTTCTTCAATTTTACAGCACTTGAAAGATTGGAAGCTAATGGTATCAGCACTGACAATAGTAGTATATTAACAGTAGTGGCGTTAATAATGGGGTGGAAGTATTGTGCAAAATGTTCCATGTACTTTGGTTGTCTATCATCTCCTGATGCAGTGCAGAACCAGCCTGGAGGTTTGTATGCATCAGGTTGAGAAGTAGTTGTATTCTCATGCCACAAAAGTCCTGTTGAAAATAAGGAGAATAATAAATGTAAGCAACGTGCATTAACCAGCAAGAGGGACATATCTACATATAAGGCAACATGATGGCTCTACCCTTATGCCCTCCTTGTTTCGCAAGCTTGACATAGTCAGAATCACTCTCTCGGACCCCAGCCCTTCGCCCTCGGGCCCTCTCCTCAGGAAGAGAGGTGATGCTTGGGGACAGTCCTGGGATCTGGGAGATCTGGCCATTTATTCCTTTGCACTCTGGTGATGTTAAAGCACACACAGACAAGCACACATAATGAAGTTAAGAAAATAAGGAAACATACCATTTCGATTTGCTGCTTCATGACTACCCTGTACATTAACGTTACCCCACACTCGCCCCATGCCAGTGCTAACTGGCACCACCACCTCCCACCAGGGGTCTAGCACACAGGTGTCCCTGCTAACAAACTACAACATGATTTAACTAAACTAAACCAGTATAAACACTTGTACTTGCCAGGTTCTGTCGACTGAAGATCGTTACTCATGAGAACTGAGACATTTCTAGTGGAAATGGAGACAAAAAAAACCGGTACACTGTCAAACTCTCCAACGGCAGCTTGCACGAGCGAGCATTGACATGACCGTTAGCATCCACAAACTTAGCGTCGGCTAGCTAACTGCTAACTTGACCGCGGTAAACTTATTCAAGCCTTAAATTAAACACAAATGGTGAGTGACAGCGCAAAGAAGTCGACAGGAAAAGTTTTAAACACGGCAATTACAGTTGTGTATTGCGTCCAGGCGTGTTTTACTTACTCTGAAGACATCTTAGAAGCAGAGGAAGAAACTGGGGACGGAGCTCTGACTGTTTGTAACTTCTGATTGCGTTGTCATGGAAACGGTCTGTATATACAGCCTGGAGTGCAGCTGCTGCTCCTTGATGTGTTTACGGTCACTACTTTACTCGATAGTTAGTTAGCTAGTTAGTATAATAATAGGCTCTGTCAGTCGGTTAATTAGTTTGTTAGTAGCTTAGGTTTTCGTATAATATGACCACAGAAAATATTGTTTGATAAGCTGCCAGGTACCCGTTAAAACGTAACGTAATCGTAAGGTGACAAGGTCCTCTCAGTGTAGTTTATTTAATCTCTCGTTAACACTCTTCTAAATAATTGCAGTTGTATTAGTAGTAAAACAAACCTAGCTAGTGAAACAGTTCACACCAAAACTGTGGATAAACCTGTGTGGTGTATGCGCAGTTTATATGATTAATATTCTAGCTTATACTATTGACAAGATTGTGTAAATAGGCATGTGGCCGACAGGTAAACACATGATGAACACATTTATTCTGCTTCATGTCCCCAGTGGTAGAGGAAATATTCAAAACTTTGAATTAAGGGACTGTTCGTTACTTGTGAGAAGGGAGGGGTGGTGCAGAAAGGGGGAGGCATGTCAAATACTTTTTTAAGCACTGTGGAGATACTTCTGTTTTGTTGTTGGCTTTGTTTTGTTGTTATTTTGGTTTAAGGGAGGGACAGACAACTTAAATTGGCTGTGATTTGTATTTGTTTTACTGCCGGGTTTGTAAGGCATGATTTCTTTCAAAATCACCAAAATTACACCATTTGTCATAGCCAGAAACTGTAAGAACAGAAATTATTGTTGGGTTTTTAAATTTCCAATAGTCCTTGAATACATTATGTGGGATGAAGGCTTCCTTCAGAAAAAAAACATAACCAGATCTAAGCTTAATAAAATTGTGGTATTTCAGTAAAATCACTTTATTCGTCTCTTGTAAAATTCTGACAAAAATAAACCACACTAACTACACAGCCTGCACGAAAAGAATGAAACTTTTTCAACTCCAGGAGTTCAGCTTCAACTTTTAACTTTTAAACATCAGAGAGTACTTTTTAAAAATCTAAATACTAATTTATGGTGGAGGGACAGCCAAGTTACACAGGGAGGCTGAAGGGAAAGTATTTGTAGCATTAAAGAGGGTAAAACAAACAAACAAACAAAAAACTCTCACCCCAGCCACCCCCTCCTCTGATAATTAATGTACAGTCCCTAAATTAAAAGTTGTATTCACACAGTGTAGAAGTTTGTAAACGGCAATCCATTCCAAGTTTTACTTAAGTATAGTTACAGAAGTCTTAGCATTAAATATAGCCTACTTATAGGCTCCCCAAACCCAGCCACTCCCCTCCTCCGATAATTAAAGAACTGTCCCTAAGTTAAAAGTTGTAATAAAGCCAATGCATTCAAATCAAGTATTAGTATCAAATATATCCTACTTATAGATTACCCAAAGTAAAAGTAGCTACTCATTGTGCAGAATGGAATATTCCAGAATATATAGCCTGTTTTTGTTTTGGATTATCCAAAATTATTGATGCATTAATGTGAACATCACTTAAATGTTGCAGCAGATACAGGAGGAGTTGATTTTAACTATAAAGCTTAAGCCAAGTAGCCTATATAGCTACTTGTGGGTAGCTCAATCTATGTCAGTGGCCTATGTCATTATTGCATTTGTTGATTAGGCCTGTATTGGTATTGGTAATCTAAATCTGCAAGAGTAATTTGTACCAGCCATAAAATATAGTGGAGCAGAGGTATAAAGCACTGAAGTAAAGGCTACAAACAGGCTGTCTCAAGTGCAGTAGGCTACTGACATAATCGTCCTTTTCACCACTGAGAGTTACTCTATGTTTGTGGGCCCATATGTGCTGTATTGTATATACAATGATGATTGAAGAGTTGTAATGTGGAAACTTAAAGGTTCTGACAGTATCCAGTGATGTTTGAATCTTCGGGAGGTCTGTGTTGAAAGAGTTACAATGAAATTAGACATCTCGTTTTAGGACAAATGTGCCCAGCTATTTGAAAAGATGTTCAATAAATCACGATGTCTTCTCAGTGGTACCACAGTTGGCTTTTAATTGCCTTTTAGCAGCCTTTCTCCACAGGTACTGCAACTGTGACTTACTGCTTCATGATTTGCCTCTGTTATTAAACTGAGTATATCACTATATTCAAACCTACGGCTATAATAACCAATAAAACTTTCTAGAAATAACTAATGACAAGGTCTGACAGTAGAAGAATAAAATGATCTCTTAATAGCCTGTTTTACCTATAAACACAATGCTAGGAAACATATTTGTATGTGATTTCATACATTTCTTCTGCTCTTCTGCATGTTTGTTTGACAACATACCGATCATTTTTCTCCCTTGTGCCTAAAAGATTGAACCCTTCACTCCCTGAATGCTGAGTGGGGAACATGCGCAGAGAGCACCAAATAGCAATGGTCCTTTAATTGCCGCGCACGTCAAGTTCGCCAGAGAGAACAGGTCTGTGACCGGAAATGTACTTAATGTGTCAGAATAAAAGCACAGCACAGTGTATCACTTGTAATCAGAAGATAGGGAAAAACTATCGGCCTAACACTTGATAACATTTTGGATGCCGGTTGAATATTTCATTATTAAAATACTTACTCTCCCTACAAGTAGCCTACAACTTCGAGGTAATTTTACCTTAAGTCCAGGGGCCCTTAAAGCTAATGTGTGTCACCTGGTTTGTAGTAATTTAGTTGAAATTTTATTTGGAAATATCCACGACTTAAGCAAAATATTTGCTGACATGATGAGGATCTTAATGTTGATTCTGTTTTACTACCTATAACTGAAGATACCTGTGTCAAAATGTAGTTTGAATTGCTTTGTTATTTCAGTTTGGAGCTCACATGTTGCATATTTCTAAATGAATTTGTGTTGAATTAAATTACAGCACAGGGCCCTTGGCAGTATTCTAAAATAATTCAGAGGAGGCAGTAGCTCAGTCCATAGAGACATGGGTTGGGATCCATAGGGTCACTGGCTCATGTCCCCATCTGGACCAAACATGGAGTATGGACTGGTAGCTGAAGAGGTGCCAGCTCACCTCTTGGGCACTGCCGAAGTTCCCTTGAGCAAGGCACTGCACACCCAACTTCTCAGGGCGTCTGTCCATGGGCAGCCCCCTTACCCTGACATCTCTCCATTTAATGCATGTATAGGTTCTGTTTGTGCATGTGTGTGTATTTCAGGCCTGTGTGTATATGACAACAGAGTTTAAAAAATTAAATTTCCCCTCAGGGATTAATAATAAAGTATATCTTCTTGTTCATCATCTTCTAATGAAAGGAGTGTGAAAGGTGTGTGGGATTAATGGAAGCCCTGAGGCTCATTTTTGCTCTGGGGCCCCTTGCAGCCTAATCCAGTCATTCCTAATAGTAGCCTTTGTAAAATAGTTAAATGAGCTTCACCCCCACCAGCTACAACTTAAGAACGCTCCCTACAAACTAAGGCATAAGTGACAATATTATGATATCATTACTGTATATTATAAATACATAGAATGTGCAAGTGACCATTCTTCATATTTGATACTTTTACTTTAAATACTTATGTAGGAGTGGTAGTAAGTATTCAGGTCTTATTTTTTCGTAAAAGTAGCAATACTATAATGTAAAAACACTCCTTTAAATGTGAAAGTCCTGTATTGAAAATATTAATAAAGTAAAAGTATGTTAGTATTATAAGCCAAATATATGTAAAGTATTGCGAGTAGTATTGCAATTTTATATGCTATTATACATTATGTTATCAGATTACTCTTACTGATGCTTTCGTATGTAGGGTAATTAGTATTGTACTGTTTGAGTAGGTAAAGGAATAAATAAATAAATGAGTATGGGTAGCTTAAGCTAAAACATTTTATGGGGTCATGCAGTGACGGATGTTTGAAGGGCAGGGGCGAAAAGGAAAAAAGGGCACCTACTGCATGACATGGGACAAGAGGGCAGCCAAAAGGGCACATCTGCTCTTTTTCATCCAATAGGGCACATCGTCTCTTTTTGATCACTCAAGACGGCAGCCAAAAGGGCAAGTCTGCTCGTTTTCATCATTCAAGAGGGCAGCTGATAGGGCACATCCTCTCATTTTTGCCACTCAAGAGGGCACTTTAGCACGGCGTTTTCAACCGAGGCGGCACATACCATGACCCCCCCCCCTTAAAAAGTCTTAAAATGCCTTAAATTCAGATTCAGATTCAATGGGTCTTAAACACATTACACTAAACTTGCTGTAATTTTGAACTGACATCAGTATGTTTACTTGGAAAGACTACTTACACACATATAAATATATAATGTGTATTTCCATTGCAGATTTGGTCTTCCTATAAGGTGGTATTAAAAAGGTCTTAAAAAGTCTGAAATGTAATGGGGCAGAAGGTTTATATCAAATAGAAATACTTGAGTTAAATACAAACAGGCTACCTCAATTCTGTGCCTTAGGATTTTGCAAAAAAATAAAATAAAATAAAAAATAAATACACTTAGAGCCCTGGGAGAAACATAAAATTGAGAAAGACTAATTGATACTTTTATTTTGAAACGCCTCACCGGAAGTGCTTGTGTTTATCCTCTCGCTTGCCGCTGGTTAATTACAGTGAGTTGTTCCAAGGTAACTTCCTCCTCCAATCCTTGGCTTTTTGCCTTCGTGGATCCAAGTGCGAGTTGTGAAGCCCCAGACAGCGCTCATGTATGAAGGGCTGCAACGCTACAAAATGTATCTTCATTTTTCCTCTCTCCTGAATATCGCGTGAATTTGCCACTTTTTTCCCCTCACCGCGCGAGTGACGGACGATCATGTTGGCGTCATGTAGGCTCTGCTTTTCAGACTTTGGAAAACAAATCGCGTATTGTCGGTGAATTCTCGGGAGATGGCAGAGTAGTTCGACCTGCGCCAGTGACGGAGCCCTCATAAAGCACTTTGAAAAACACCCCGCAAGGTAAGTTCAATCATGACGAACATTTAATGTAACATTAATGTGTGTTGTGTCGTGGCTGTGGACATTTGGGCAGACGTGGAGAAGTTTGCGTATCTACAGGAAAGGGTTTCGTGACGTGCTCTCTGTGTGGAAAACCCTTGGAGCTTTTCTTCGTAAAATCTTGGCCTGTTTTGTCATTGCAGCCACATATTTTATTCACCTTCTTCATCTTGTGTGTTGTGAACAAATATTAAATATGATTTAGCAGACAGGGAACCTGAACGCATCATAGCCGGCGTCAGAGATTTTTTTTGGTAGTTGTTGATAAATGGAGATGAGCCCCAGGCCAAAAGACAGAATATAAACGTCTCAGCTTCACCATTGCGACTTGCAATTTCACAATCAAATCAACCTCGCCACATTGCAACTAGTTGTGACTTTGTTAAGAGTTTTTTGTCATGCAAACAATCCTTGGGAGGGTCCTTGATCGTGTGGCTCATCATCCCATGCTGAGCACTTTAACATCACAATCGCAGTCCTGGAGGAGGGGAGAGCAGCCAAAAACATACAGCATTCCTTGCAGTAGTCTTTGATTTAATTCTGAACTACTTAGCAATGGAGAAACACTTGAATATCCCCAATATAGCTCTTGTATAAGATGCTGAAGTATTTGTTGTCATGCTTTTCCCTGCTGAGGAACAGAACAGGAACTATTGTGTGATAGCAGGGGCAATTAAATGTAAAGGCAGTAGACCTGCTGATGAGAGGGTGCAAACTTCATTACCAAGGTGTTAATGCTAGCTGGAAACATCCAGAGATAATTGTGCAGATTAAAAGATGTGTGAATGGGAATGTCTCACACTGAAGTGTTCCTCCTCAGAATCAACTCACTGTGCTAGATCCTTCACTCTCACCAAATTACATTCCCACATACTAATCAGGCCTTTCTTCACTAGTAGCCCCCAAATGTCTGGGGAGCACTTGATTGTGCATTTGTGTTTGCTGTTGTAGCCTGTCCCAGCCAAGCTCCATTTAACTGTGTTGCGTTTAAGGTGACATAATATATACATATGACTCTCTGACAGCCACACATGCAGTGATAGTGTCTGGAATGGAAGATGACTTATTGTTTAATCAACATGGATTAGCAACTCAAAATGAATTTGAACGCTAATGACCGCATTAGACGAATCGCAGTTCAGCTGAGGTTATTTGTCATGGTCAGTGGGTGTGTGTTTGTGTGGTTGGTTGATGATCTGGAGAATGTAACCCCATAGCTGACCAGTCACAGAAGTCGGGCCTCTGTGTGGGCGCCCGCTGTAGTGGCTTGCATTGTGGAGTCTGGCTGATAGTGGTCTGATAAAAGGACGGCAGGCAGTCTGAGGCAGAGATATGCTTCAACTCCAGGGGGATTGTCGGGGTCCTGTTCTGTTCGGCTGGGCACCAGCCTGGCTGTGGTCACTCAGCCTGCCATTGTGATTAGTCCTCTCCTTCTTCTCAACAATGTTATTGTTTGGCTTCAGGCCAGTGTCACTGTTTCAAACTGCCTATCTGTGGTAACGTAGTCCTCAACCAGCTGGAGGTTATCGGTCTGTCTGAGACTAACAAGACATTCCCAACAATAGGACTGGTTTTGGAGGTGCCTTGAAATGTTGAATTTGATGTAAAGAGGCCTTATATGTGTCTGATTTATGATGCTCTATGGTACTGCCAACAACTTGCTCAGATTTTGTATTTGTATGGCGCTTTTCAAAACACAGTTCCAAAGTGCTTTATGGGACAGACAAACAATCAAGATAAAAACATTGAACATAGGCTAACACCAAATAAATCCGAGTGTGTAATAGAAATAAATAAATAATAAAATTGATAAAAAGATAGATTGAACTAGACACACTGCAGATTTGCTGTAAAAAAGCCTGACTGTAAAAGTAGGTTTTGAGGAGTGTTTTAAACGAAGATGCTGAGTTTGCCAACCAAAGATCCTCACGTAGGGAGTTCTGCAGCTGTGGGGCTGTAACGGAAAATGCCCATTTTCCGATGGGATGTATGGGATTTTTGAAACATATAGTTTATATGTTGTAGCAGAAAAAAAAACACAGATTGCCAATATAGTGACTTTCTGAGCTGGAATGACAAGACGTTTTCTTATGGATAGTTTTATGACTTTGTACTGATATAGCCACACAAAAGTACTCAGAAGGCTGCTTTCTTTAACTAATAATAATAATAATACATTGGATTTATATAGCGCTTTTCAGGATACCTAAAGCCAATTACAAAGAACAACAACAGCAATAAAAAAAACAACAGAACAAAGCGCTCGGTACGTTTACATGCACTTAGTAGTGGAGCTAAGCTCATAGCTCGGCTAATCAGTCAAGTCAGACTTCTTATCTTGTCTAAGTATACATGCAGAAGAGAAAATCGAATTTCTGACCAAGTACATCTGACTCCGCCTCGATAGGCGGTGCTGTGTCCATTATAATATAGTGCGTATTGAACTAGTTCTGGTTGACCTGAAGAGGAAGCTAACGACGAATGAAGATGTTTGGAGAGCTTTGTAAGTGATGATGACGAGTTTGAAGTGGATACACTGGAGGATGGGGCGCCAGTGGAGGTTGGGGGTGATGTGGTTGAACCCCCCCCCCCCCCGAAACATATTGTAAATTATTGTAAAACAGGTACACTGATATCGATATATTTGTGATATGCTCATATTGGCTGATAACCTCGGCCGGCCAATAGACTGGTCAGGCAGTAATAGAATGTCAGAAAATAGTGAAGTTAGAATTTCCCAGAGCCCAAGGTGACATCCTCCCATTAGGTCTAGCCTATCTGAACCCCAAAGATATTCATTTTACTATCACAGAAGACAAAGAAATTATGTGAATATTCACAAGCTGTAAGCACAAAATGCTTGGTGTTGGTGTTTTTGTTTGAGAATTGACATAATCAGTTGTCAGAAGAGTTGCTGACGATTGAGCAATTGATCAACTAATTGTTTTGGCTCTAAATTAATTTATCAAGAAGACATAATTGTCAAATGTGCTGTGTTGGCTCCAACTGCCAACATCCTGGACTCTGGGAAATTGGCTTTTTAATAGCTTTTTAACATTTTATAGACTAAATGACTAATCAAAAAATATTACTCAGATTAACTGATAAAGAAAGTGATTTGTTTCAGCACTACTTTGAACAAACTATCAGAAATTAGGCTTTTGATTGCCATCTGAAAGTTCTGCCTCTCCTACACACAGGCCTCATTCAACTTTTCATTTCCACATTGCGACTCCTAAATTCTTTGGCTGCAGATATGTTGGCCTCTACATCAGTGCACTGCTGTAGTGGTTCTGTCTGATGGACATAAAGTGTGTAATTTGCCCACAGAGGTCTGAGCATTGAAAGCATGAGGCGAGTATGGGTGGGGGGGTTGTTGTTGGGGTGGGGTGGGGGGGGGGTGTAGGCCTCTGATAGCAATCATTTCTCTGTGCACAGTAATTTGGCTGTCAGAAGCAGCTGGCAGTTTGGGTTGGAACAATATGCAAGTGGAGGGAGAGGGAAGCGCTAGCTCCCAAAAATCCTGAGTGTGTGTTGGGGGGTTGGGTGTGTGTGTGTATATATGCATATGTGTGTGTGTGGAATCAGGTTACACAGTCTGTCATTAACAAGGGAACTGCAGTTATGAGACCAAGATAGATTGCTTCAAGTCTGAGCAAGAGTCTGAGGCTCATCGCTCTTCCATGTAGGTGGCTCTCAACTTGGGGAAGCGAGGGAGGGAGGAGGCGGGAGGGGATAATGTACGTCTGCTTGTGTGTGTGTGTGTGAGACAGTATATGATTGTGTGTGTGAATGCGGCTGGGAGGCGGTGGCTGGAGGATAGAAAGGGGGCAGGATTTGGCTCGGAGTCTCGCTCAAAGCAGCAACCTTCAGCTATCTTGCTTCAGCTTTTAGCCATGTGTATGTCCTCTGTGTGTGTGTGTGTGTGTGTGTGTGTGTGTGTGTACTGTATATGCTGACTTACTAGAAAGTTTGACTAGCAACAAACCTGGCATCAGATGAGGCAGCAGGCTGCAGAGGAACACAGCATGTGGGTTGCATTTGCCTCTGCTCTGTGCTTGTGTCCAGCTTTTTAGAAAGGGCCCCTCTGTCTGCAGTGTTATTTTTAGTCAAAAAATCCTTGAGCCTTTTAATAATCATCAGCCTTATGTAGCCCAAACATATCACGATGAGAGGAGCTGTCTGGGACTTGCGGGTACTGCAGTATCAGCATGACACGGGAAGTTAGAGGGGGGAAAAGAGAATAAGATAAAAGACCGCCTGTGTATATGCCAGATTTTAGTCTTGTCCCTGTTTGCTGTTTGGGAGTTCACTCTCCTCTTGTTCTGGTGGCTCTGCACAGACTTATTGATTTCTCTCATTCTGTGTTCAAATGTGGATGAGGACCAGTGGAGACAGAGGGAAGGGAGACATGAGACTGCTGTCTGCACAGATGCACACGCACATATATCTGCAGTGCTCGTGGCTCCTCTCCTCTCTCTACACTAACCCCAGACTGCACTGGAGACAGTCTGCAATACACATTTTATGAGCCCTTCACTCGCTTCAGTGCTCTTGTCTTATCGCTCAGCTGTTAGTGGGAAAAGTTATGGCTTTGTTTCAGTTGCTGCCTCTCTCTGATCTCATTCTCCAGTCCTGAGCTTGGGCTCTTATTTGGTGTGGGCACTTTGTCTACAACTTTGAGAATAATCTGTGTTTCATCTCTCGGGTCATGGGGTCATAGACTGAAGTAGTTCTGTTGTGATGGCAGTACATCAGCATCACATTGATGGGGGCTTGAATTAGTCTGGTCCTTTCGCCATGCTTGAGCCAAATGGGGGCATTTACAATGTTTTAGTCATTCATTCATTTTGACAAGCAAGTAGGGCTGGGCAGTGTGGCTGAAATCAATAGGACAATATGATAGAAATATTTTTAGGATGCCTGCATTTACGTATATTGTCATGTGGTGCAATGTATTC